AAAAAAAAAGGATTGGTTGGTCTTTGAAGATTCCCTAACTTAGCCAAGTTGGTATAAATTTCTTTCAAATGATTTATGATATGATCCCACACAAATTTGGTCATGACTAGTTGTCATTTGTCTGCACAATAATGTAATGTTCCTAACTTTATTTTTTTCTCCCTTATTTTTTCATTGGGGACATAAAAACTAGTGAGGGACAAATGGTATTTGCATGAATTTATCTACCTGTTTTTGGGCCATTACATCTTTGCACTATCTGGAAAATAGGCATATGATTTGTAAATCAATAACCTTGTAAGTTGTAATCCCTCCCTCCTTGTATATTAATTCGAAACGTGTTGAGCCTAGGTGGCAGATTCTTACGCTTCGGATGCTGACATGGCGAAATTCTATTCTTCGTGATGTTGTTTTTATATTATTTTTGCTCTGGAGTTAGGTTTGATATTAGACATAAATAATTTTACACATCTATTCATTAACTCAACACTCATGTTGTACATGAGTATTAATACTAGTAATAATATTAATGTTGATAGAAAGTGTCTGGATGACCTGTGATCACCTGTAGTGTGGGTACACAGTATTCTTTTTTTTTTTTTTTTTTTTTTTTTTCTAAAGTCTGCTGGTTTGGCAGATTCTTTTGCTAATTGGGGGGCCTTAGATTCTCTTCTTATCCCAAGGTATCTTTAATAATTGATACAGCCTTGCCATGAAAAAAAAGTTTGTGCCAAGAAGTGGAGCCTGCATGTTTTGCCTCCTTCACTGCATAATTGTGAGTTAATCCCTATATAATAATAAAGTCTATCACCATCTCATGTTCAATTATGGGCTAATTGTATAAATGAATTTTCTTTTAGTATAATCTTTCGTTGATTTTCAAAAGAGTCCTTTATGTGTATGCCTCGTTCGAATTTCGTCCAATATGTGTACCTGAAATTGTTGATTTAGAGCTTGTGTGTAACATTTTTGTGGACATACGAGACGAATCGGCCAAATAGAAAGGAATTTATTTGAATTGTTGAAACATACCAGATCGGAAATTTTGTCTGTTCATAATTTGTGTTGATATGGGATATTATACTCGGTCGAATCGACTCGAAAAAGCAGTTCAGTGGAACCAAGTGAACCAGCAGGTCGATCGGAGGTCGGAACCACAGAGGTCACCGAAGCATCAGTTCGATGATGACTCCAGTGGCCAAGAGACACGCCAACAGGTCGAGCTAGGGCCCTTGGATGACCTAGTAGAAACTCGACCTGGACGTATCCAAAGTCGATGGATTGATTTACCTGAAGGACAATACACAAGCACAGTGAAGAGACAATCTAGCTCGATGGAAGCCGAGTTGGTCGTATGCTTAGACTGTCTAATTGAGCAGACTAAGAGATAAAAAGAAACAATTCATATTAAGATAAGAATTACATATGGATTGGGACAAGTCGTCTAACAGAAAGCCAAACTGTTTGGGTAGTACGAACAGGATATTCGTGCACTTGGGCATCCTATTCGGGCAGGCTTGGGCAACAAAATATCACCCCTATATAAAGGGATGAGGTATGTCGATCCCAGCTCTACACAATCAAAATCTAACAAAGTTTATATATCTATTATTGGTCGTCTTCACGACTGTTTACTATCTTGATCGTCGAAGTGCTAACACCGCGAACACCTCCCAGCCCATTGTGCAGGTCTTCATAAGCGGATCCAAGGACCATCTGTTCGAGGTTGTTTACACACCATTTGTCATACTTTTTGACGTGGTATTGTTGACAAATGCTCGATCAACTGAGCTATATGGATCAAATTAGTAACTTGAACATAATAATCGGACTCTTTCAAATCGAAGGTCTTTCGGATAACCTGATGACACACGAGGTTGGGGTATATTATATCAACCCGAACTTGCAGTCATGCTGATAAGATGCGCCACCTAGGTCAAAGTGTTCCACCTAATCGAGCTTGGGATTGAATATCGATAAAAAACAAAGTCGAGCTACATAAATAACTAAATGCGATCCTTATCCTTATTTAGGTGATTCTCAAATGAATACTAAGATTTGTTGGCCAATGTAATTTGATCTCTTATAAACAATATGAAACATACCAATGAAAATCCTATTCATGCGTTCTTTAATGAGTACACAATCGTAGGCATTAACTTTTATCTTAAAAATCTGTTTTCAAAGATTTGGAGGATAATGTAGATCCCATTCCTTATAAATACCATGAAACATATTAGTGAAGATCCTAATCACAATTTCTCTATTGACTAGGCAATCCTACATAATTAAACACTGCTTTTAATTCTGAGCTTCGGGTTCTTTTAGGTCATAAAAACAAGATTCAAGGATCTTAAGAGAGGCTCGAAACTCGATTTGAAGGCTATGGAGCACATCACTTTTAAATAAGAATTGAAAATTATCCAAATTGTTGATCATACATTCGACTTCAGCAGCAAATTTCAAAGTAGTTTTCCATTATTTATTTCTGGGAAAAATATCAAGTTATGCATTTCTATTATTGCTAGATGAAAGTAGAAATCATTGGTCGAAAAACTTTATTTATCGACATGTAAATAAGTAAAAGTACTTCCATAACTCATGAATTCAAGTCCTTTCACAAGTGAGCCCTGAGGTAGCATAACCCCAAAATAGAGAGTTATATGAGAACACCTCCAGTAGCTCGTGAACTCGACACGACAATCGATATTTACATATTCGTACATTGCCATATACAAAATTTCTGATCAGACTCCTAATCAAAGATACTGTATAAGTCTTTCCCTGTTGATATCAGGCTATACAAATCTCCTTTGGATGAACCTGAATTAAAAAA